AACTTCATTGTGTAAGCCTTGAACCATACTTGGCTTGCCATACACACTAATGTAGCTTTGCTTTGGAACTTTGTTCTTTCATTATTTTTGGTGTTCAAAACTCAGATTACAATGATTCACATTTGTTTTTCTAGAATATACTGAAGTTGCCTGTAAAAATTAAGCAAATGCCAGAGTTCTCTATCACCTTGGCTTAACAAAGCCCAAAACTGAGAAGGATGAAGCAAATCACAAAATTTGGGTGATGATAATAAAATAATTCTTGGTATTTATAAAAAATTCCACCCAGGAAACCAAAATAGGAGAGATGAGCATAGGTATAGTTGTACTATTCTCTGAATATACTCTTACCCTGTTAGTTGTCACGCCACATATGATTCCAATTTCATTTTTCACTCTTTTTTATAAAGGTTCAGAGTATGATATCCTTGAGAGAATGATTTAGAATGCAAGTTTGGAAGAGGCTAGGACAGTGGAGGAGATACACAGTGCTTGCAAAGAGAAGAAAAGCTACTTGCACAGGCTGTGCCATGGAAACTAAGCAGGAGAAGGGCCTCTACGTGACATTGACATTTGAATTTTGGAAGCCATTAGGAAGAATATTTAACTAACTTTGGCTTCAAACCCAGCCCAAATGACTGCATAGATGCTGCACCACTAGGTGGAGAAATGAGGTAGCTGGAGAAAACTCCATGGCAATGATAATTTGGACCTGCGGACAAATGACCTAGAGGTCATCAGCACTTTATTTGTCATGGGTCCAATAGTCTTGTAGTTTATGAGCAAGAGCATCAGTCTTTTCCTGCTCATCATGAAGTTTCTCAGTCAAGTAGGTAAACTACTTCTTAATCAGTTCTTCCAGGATGGACTTGAGATGCATTTTTTCACTTTTCAAAATTTTAATTATTTTTAACATATTCAATTTGTAGATACAAGTCTAAGAACATAATGATATTCTCCCCTCCCAGCCTCCTACCCTCCTTCCTTCCGTCTTCCCTTTTTTTTTAATTTTTGAGATAACATATTTCAAATTTACATTACAGTAAAATAAGAAGGGAAACAAGTAAAAGCAAAAAGACCCTAGTTTAGTAGGAATGTGGCAATAGCCATAAATAATAATTGAATATATACATGATATGAGGCGTAAAGAGAAGATTTAGAATGGAGATAAGAGAAGGCTTAGACACAAGGAATCTCCTCCCATTTTTTTGAACACTCACAGAAGTGGTAGAGATCCTAAATAATGTCTAGGTCAAACATGATGTTAAGTGGCCATTTGGACTGGTTGTCATGGTCACACATGGGCCATGCCCGATTACGAAAAAATAAGAAGCAATAGCATCTGAAATCTGGGGCCAATTTGAGAGCAATAAGATTATTTAGGGAGGGCTGGTGCTGTGGTTCAGTGGGTTAATGCCCTGGCCTGAAGTGCCGGCATTCCATATGGGTGCCGGTTCGAGACCTGGCTGCTCCACTTCTGATCCAGCTCTCTGCTATGGCCTGGGAAAGCAGTGGAAGTTGGCCCAAGTCCTTGGGCCCCTGCACCTGGAAGAGGCTTTGGATCCGCACAGCTCCAGCCATTGCAGCCAATTGGGGAGTGAACCAGCAGATGGAAGACCTCTCTCTCTCTCTCTGCCTCACTTTTCTCTGTGTAACTCTGACTTTCAAATAAAAATTAAATAAATCTTTAAAACAAAAGATTATTTAGGCGATGCTCCAAGAGGAGTGTCAGACAGACCGCAGGAGGAGGAAGCTCCCATAGCGACCTGAGGGGTCAGACTGGCAGGTAGCAGGTATCCCTGAGATCATGGCAGTCTGATGAGGAGAGTAAGGGAGCAGGGAGTGAGATCATCACTGGCATCCACTATCATTTGAGGTGTCAAGCCCAAAGGAATCGTGGTGCCTGGTACCAGGACTTCAAGAGAAAGCAGAGTGAAACCACAACCCGAGTAGAGGCCTCAGTGGGAGAATTAGCCATTTCCGATCTTAGCTCAGGATTTGGAGGTTGATGTGTGAACAGGAATCATAGAGCATTTGTTGATGAAGAAGGAGGTCTGGGGGTGGTTTTGTGGTTGGTAGGAGTACAGGATCCCAAACCAGCTCAGATTCCCAAGGGGAGAGCAAGGTTGATGGGAAAGCCTGGGTCCAAGTCACAGCACCAATGATAGGCCACCACAAAACACACCAAACTCCAGAGTAAAAGGAAAGGTTTTATCTGGAGGTGGAGCGACAGGCTGGAGAGAGAGGGTGAGGGAGAGAGCCTGTGTGGAAAAACAGGTCTTATTATAGCCTTGCAGAGAAAAGGAAGTGGGAGTAGTGAATCCTGTTAGGGTTGGAGTTGACACTTGTGGTTGGGCCATTTGGTCACCTGACTCTTAGTAAGCCAGGCTGGACTTAGGAACTGAAACTTATTCTGGAAGACCAAAACTTATTGGACAAGATGGCAGCTGGGTTACAGTCTGAAATGGTGCCCAAGGTTTAAGATGCCGCCTCAGAGAAGATCGTGTTTGTTTCAGGAACAGAAATTATATGCTATTATTAAATTTTTCAATACATGTAAAGCTGTGCAAAAATATAAAGTTAATTTAACAGTATGAAAAAATCACAGTACATACTTAAAGTTGAAGTCCACTGATGCAAGTACAGAACTAACAAATGTATATGAGGCTGAAGTGAAAGATAGGGAATGTAAAGTGGAATATTGAAAGTATCAAGTACATTTGTCATTCAATATTATTTGAATTAATACTCTGCATTCTGTTAGAACACATGTCAATTCAGTAAAGCCATATTAAAAGAATAAATATTGACTTATGATCACAAGTAGTGCCTTCTATGAAGAAAAGGAAGCAGTATATGAGAGACATACCAGAGGGATGGTGTATAAAGTAAACTAGTTGAATTCCAAAGATGAGTTCTTGGAAGAAATTCTTTTTCAGTTACTATAGTCATTAAATGGATATTTTCCTGATTACATTCTGGCACATTTTACATTGGTTATCCAGCGTTACATTTGTAATACCAAATTAGCCAATAATTGGGTTTATTTTAGAGAAATCATTTAACTCAGCTTCAAGTGAATCCACCATGGACTGTCACTAGAGTTTTTGGTGACTCAGAACAATCAAGTCCATGACTGATGTGGAAATCCTTACCATTTCTGTTTGGTACAATTACTGCACTATATTAATCATTTTTAGATATCCTGGGAACACTACTCATTCTTCCCTCTAGTTACAGGCTTAGATGATTTAGAAATTAAATAATCAGAGGTCAGTGAATAAACATAAAGGTAAAGTAAGTTGTATAAACTAGAAATCAACCATAGAAAGTTAACCACTTCCATGGAAGGAAGGAGGGAGGGAAGCAAGGAAGAGAGGAAGCAAGAAAAAATACTCACTAGTGGCAGAACCGATCTAAATCTGTGTTTCAAAGATGTTTCCCATACAGCATTATGGGAGAAGTTATTTAATGCACTGGGTATGGATCTAGACTGCTTTTTGGAGCCCTAGTCATCACTGAAGTATATTACTTGTTATGTTGACCCATTATATTTCAAATCTCTGTTTAACATATTTTGTCTCTTATTCTCTTTTCCAGAATAAAATATGGATTAGACTTGCTTAAAGAGCCTTTTGGTTGCCAGATGTAATGATTTAGGTAATGCAATAGGCACAAGTGTATCATATCTGCACCAGGATTTTCATCTGAAGGAACACAGTGATAATATTTCTAAACCTTTGTATAGAGGCAGTTAAGGATGCCATTAGTTATCTTACATGTTTTAAAAGAATTCTCCAAGCACAGTATAATGGAATTGAACAGAAGGCAAGCAAAAGGCTGCATACACCATTTGAAGAAGTTGATGGGTGATAATTGTGTAGGATGCTTACTGGTTTTCATGTAAATATTTTAAAAAGGTGAGTAAATATTAAATAATTTTCAAAAGTCTACCAGAAAGCAAACGGTTGTCTAAGTGCTGGAGATGCGGCACTGAGCCTTATTTCAGAGGAAACTTCATGGGCATTATAGTCCAGCGCAAAAGTGGACAAGAAGCAGGCAATTAAAAGCTAAAAAGATAAATGGCAAAGCAGTGGTATTAGGTTGGCAAATCACAATGCATGCACAACTGTGGATCAGATTTTATAGTTATGATTAGGTTTTTAATGTAAGAAATACAGGAAATAGTCTAAAAATTAAAGTGTGCAAGGGTATATGGTGGAGTTTTTTTTCTAAATTAGAACTGTGTAAAATGCTAACGATTGCAGGCATGCTGTTGATATTTTATGCTGTTTTTTTTGCAGTGTATAGAAGAAAATAAATTATTGATCATTGTTTGAAGTCAATATTTTTATTATGTTGCAGATTTTATGTAAGTCATTTGCGTGGAAAAATGGGAAAGACAAAGGGGTTGGTGTTAGTGGGTTCATGTACATGTCTCATTATTATCATTTCAACTAATCTGTGTCGCAATGATACATGGGATAGAAAACCAAAAGGAGAATGGTATTAATGCTCTGGGAGGGGCTGGTGCTGTGGCGCAGTAGGTTAATCATCCACCTGCAGCACTGCCATCTTACATGGGCTCTGGTTTTACTCCTGGCTGCTCCTCTTCCGATCCATCTCTCTCTCTGCTGTAGCCTGGAAAAGCAATAGAAGGTGAGCCCAAGTCCTTGGGCCCCTGTACATGAGTGGGAGACCTGGAAGAAGCTCCTGGCTCCTGATTCATATCAGCTCAACTCCAGCAATTGCGGCCACTTAGGGAGTGAACCAACAGATGGAAGACCTTTCTCTCTGTCTCTCCCTCTCACTGTCTGTAACTCTACTTCTCTAACAAATAAATAAGATCTTTTAAAAAATGCTTTGGGAATAAGAAATGATGTCAACAGAATTCTACCAAATGAAGGGAAACATTGACTGGTAGACTAAAATGAAATACATTAATTCCTACAATGCAATCACCAAAACTTAGATCTAAGGAAATAGTCACATGACTCCTTTCACAGGAATTTTCCTCTTTCTCGCATTTTTTTCAGGGCAATATGAACATCCTTATTTCTCAGGCTGTAGATCAGAGGGTTCAGCATGGGCACAACAACAGTATAAAATACAGATGACACTTTTCCTTGATCCATGGAGCTGAGAGATGATGGATTCAGATACATGAATGCAGCAGAACCAAAGAAAACAGCAACGGCTGAAATGTGGGAGCTGCAAGTGCTGAAGGCTTTGGTCCTGCCTTGAGTGGAACGAATACGAAGGATGCTCGCAATGATTAGGGTGTAGGAGATAAGGATGGCCAGGCTGGGGGTAAGGATGTTAATTCCACTAAAGATGAGAATCAGCAATTCATTGGCATAAGTACTAGAACAAGAGAGCTTTAGGATGGAGATAAGATCACAGAAATAATGGTTGACTACATTCAATTTGCAGAAATAGATTCTAAACATGCAGCCTGTATAAACTGATGCACAAACCGTACTTATAGTATACACCCCTACAATCAGGGAAAAACAGACCTTATGGGACATGATGACATTGTAAAGCAAGGGGCTACAGATGGCAACATAGCGGTCATAGGCCATTGCAGCCAACATGTAACACTCTGCTACAGCAAAAACCAGGAAGAAATAGAGCTGAGTCATGCACTCAGGGTAGGAGATGGTGTTCTTCTGTGCCACAAAGTTCACCAGCATTTTGGGGGTAATGGCAGTGGATTGACAGAGATCAATGAAGGACAGACTGCTGAGGAGATAGTACATGGGGGTGTGCAGGTGGCAACTGAGCCCAATGAGTATGATCATGCCCAGGTTGCCCACCACAGTGACCACATAGATTCCCAGGAATAAGAGCAAGAGGGGCAGCTGCAGCTCTAGCTGTTCTGTGAGCCCAGCCAGGATGAACTCTGTCACCGTGGAATGATTTCCTGCTGCCATTGTTTCTGGTCACTTCCTGATGGGGCGAGAGAAGAATATGGTTATTGGTGAGACTTTGTTGCTATTTTGTTTTTTTGTTCGTTTGTTTGTTTGTTTTTGACAGGCAGAGTGGACAGTGAGAGAGAGAGACAGAGAGAAAGGTCTTCCTTTGCCGTTGGTTCACCCTCCAATGGCCGCCGCGGCCGGCGCACCACGCTGATCCGATGGCAGGAGCCAGGAGCCAGGTGCTTTACCTGGTCTCCCATGGGGTGCAGGGCCCAAGCATGTGGGCCATCCTCCACTGCACTCCCTGGCCACAGCAGAGAGCTGGCCTGGAAGAGGGGCAACCGGGACAGAATCCGGCGCCCGGACCGGGATTAGAACCGGCGCCGCTAGGAGGAGGATTAGCCTAGTGAGCCGCGGCGCCGGCCCTGTTGCTATTTTGTTTTAGAGAAGGGCATCCCTTTTCCCCAATCCTTATGATCATTTAATAATGGATCAGTTTATCACAGTAGAAATGATGTCAGTTTAATATCAATTTAGCCTTATTTTTCAAACACAATAACTTTATCTTATATAAAAATATTTTGTCCATGTATTTAGTACTGTAATGATTTACTTTAAAGTGTATTTTTAATGATCACCAAAGCAATATTATTAACCTGAGATTTATATATTTAAATATATAGAGCAGCCAGGGTAAAATAGCATAATTGGATGATTAAGAACTTGTAGAGGGCAAGCCCAGTCTAAAGATAGCAAGCTTTGGGGTCTGGTGCTGTGGCATAGTCGGTAAAGCTGCAATCTGTGCCTCTGGACTCCAGTTTGAGTCCTGGCTGCTCTACTTCTGATCTAGCTCATGAATAATGTACTTGGGAAGCAACAGAGGATGGCCCAAGTGCTTGTGCCCTGCACACACATGAGAGACCCAGAAGAAGCTCCTGGCTCCTAGCTTCGTATTGGCTCAGCTCTGGTCATTGTGGCCTCTTGGGGAGTGAACCGCTGGTTGGTAAATCTCTCTCTGTCTCTCCCCCCCTCTCTCTCTGTAACTGTACCTTAAAAAAAATAAAGGTAGAAACTTTTAACAACCTGAAACTAACTTATGGCAGGGACATTACTATTTCAGACTGTTTAATTATATGTAATTAAATCAAATATATTTAATGGAATATAAATTATTAATTTATATATAAATTATATATAATATACTCTATATATTATGTATATATTAGAGAATATGAATTTCTGCACAAAATTTAAGATTTCTAAATGTTATCAAAATTAAGTATTATCTACAATTATTGATCATATCTTTCACCTGGAGTGACCTACAGTTAGCTGGTTTGTGGTTTCTGAACCAAGCCCTTGTGCCTTCTCTGGAATGAAGGAGACTGAGTAGTGGTTAAAGCGTCAAGCCATAAGTCAAAGGCCATGTGTTCACGCTTTGACACCATCACTAACTCACTGAATGCTGCAAGGAAAATACCACTTTGCTTTATGACTTTCAAACCAACAAGAAAATGACTTCACTTATTTTATAATGAAATTGGCAGAGTCTTATCAACCAGAGAGTGAACATGATTTTTGCATTGTTGATACCTAGTAACACCCTATCAATTGAAAAACAAGCAATAATTAATTATAGATTTAAAACTGCAGAAATGGCAACCTAAGTATTCTAATTTTACTTTCTTTTTTTTAAATTTCTGTGAATTGGAAAGGAGCTTAAAGCAGAGGAATAGGCCTGGAAAACAGATTTATAAGCATGGTTTCCTATTCTGGTAGACAATGACTACAATATTTTATTGCATAGAAGACATTCAAGTTTCAAATAGATGAGTTGTGTTATAAACATAAATGTAAAATATAAAAATATCTAACATATCTTACATGAAAATAAATCTTAAAAATGTCAGATTAATATTTAAAAGCCATAGTATGAATTTCTGGAAAAACAAATCAAAGAAAATCTTTGAATGTTTATGATTTTATAAGAGACTTGCATATAAACAAAAGATAAAAGCAAAAATACAAACAAAACTCAAAAAATACAAACAAACTCATTCAATTGTATTTCACCAAATTTTAAAATAAAATTAAAGACATAATTAAGAAAATGCAAAGGTAAATTCACAGTTTTATGTCTGGCAAAAGGCATTAACCTAAAATATGTTAATAGAGACCAAGTGATTAAGGGGTCAGTTAATACACCAGCATTCCACATTAGAAAACCTGGGTTCAAATATCATATGTTCTCCCTGATAGGCGACAACTACTGAGCACCAAAGGGGAAACTTGTTGAAGTGAAATAGACACTATGAGAAACAGTGACTTGATCAGCTCTTGTCCTGACGGTTGATGTACAATGTAATACTTTATCCATTATAGTATTTTTTTTTTGTTCTAGTACCATTGGTTGAACTCTGTAATTAACACACAATTATTCTTAGGTGGTTAAATTTTAACTGAAAAGTGATCCCTGTTAGGAATTTGGAAAACATTATGCTGAGTGAAATAAGCCAATCCCAAAGGGACAAATACCACTTGTTCTCCCTGATCGGTGACAACTAACTGAGCACCAAAAAGGAAACCTGTTAAAGTGAAATGAACACTATGAGAAATGGTGACTTGATCAGCCCTCACCCTGACTGTTGATGAGCAACTTAGTATGTTATCCCTCTTAGTATTTTTTTTGTTTGTTCTACTTAATACTTTTGGTTGAATACTGTAATCAATACACAATTATTCTTAATTGCTGAAACTTAACTGAAAAGTGATCGCTGTTAAATAAAAGAGTGGGAGTAAGAGAGGGAAGAGATGTGCAATTTGGGACATGCTCAAGCTGACTTACCTCAAACGGTAGAGTTAGAAACATACCAGGGGATTCCAATTCAATCCCATCAAGGTGGCATGTACCAATGCCATCTCACTAGTCCCAGTGATCAATTTCTGTTCACAATTGATCATAATGATAGGACTAAGAACCAAAGGGATCACATAAACAAGAATAGTGTCTGCAAATACTAGCTGATAGAATAAAAAAGGGAGAGAACGATCCAACATGGGAAGTGAGATACACAGCAGACCCATAGAATGGCAGATGTCCTAAACAGCACTCTGGCCTCAGAATCAGCCCTTAAGGCATGTGGATCCGGCTGAAATGCCCATGAGAGTATTTCAGGCATGGAAAGCCAAGACACTCTGGGAGAAAAAAAAAAAAAAAAAACTAAATGAAGGATCTCCACGAGTGAGATCCCAGTGGAAAGAATGGGTCATCAAAGAAGGAGGTACCTTTCTCTGAAGGGAGGAGAGAACTTCCACTTTGACCATGGCCTTGTCTAAATATGATCAGAGTCAGTGAACTCAGGGGGCTTCCATAGCCTTGGCAGCTCATGACAAGAGCCTAGGGTGATTACTGATGCCATAAACAAGAGTGTCAATTTGTTAAGTCAACAATAGGAGTCACTGTGCACTTACTCCTCATGTAGGATCTTTGTCCTTAGTGTGCTGTACATTGAAATTTAATGCTATAACTAGTACTCAAACAGTATTTTTCACTTTATGTTTCTGTGTGGGAGCAAACTGTTGAAATCTTTACGTAATGTATGCTAAACTGATCTTCTGTATATAAAGAGAATCGAAAATGAATCATGATGTGAATGGAAGGGGAGAGGGAGTGGGAAAGGGGAGGGTTGCGGGTGGGAGGGACGTTATGGGGGGGAAGGCATTGTAATCCATAAGCTGTACTTTGGAAATTTATATTCATTAAATAAAAGTTAAAAAAAATTAAAAGAAAAAAAACCTGGGTTCATACTCTTCTCAAAATATCATATTGTTCCTCTTAAGTATATACTATTATTATTTGCAAATTAAGAGAGTAAATAAATGCAATAACTGAATCCAGCTCCTGACTCCAGCTTCATGTTAGTATAGACCCTGGAAGGCAGTAGCGATAGCTCGGGCAATTGGTTTCCTACTACCCATCTGGGAGACCCATTAAAACCCACATCAACTATGTATTCCACATTTTGAATGTCACACAAAACACAGTGTAACTCAATTTAAAATATTTCCTGAGTTCTTTTTCATTGTGTCATTGATTATACATAATTGAATGGCTAACTTTCCAGAAACTGAGGGTTTTTTTCCATTCCTTTTTAAATTGTTTCTTTCAGCTTCATAGTGGTCAATGAATATACTGAGTTATTCAAGTTATTTCAAATTTCTGATGTTTTCCTAATAAGTCACCAAATGCTCATTTTTATAACTGTTTCCAGGTCTTTCACATGGGTGCAGAGGCCCAACTACTTGGGTCACCTTTTTCTACTTTTCCAGGCACATTCGCAGGGAGTTGGATCAGAAGAGGAGCAGCTCTCAAACCAGCACCTATATGGGATGCCAGCATTGCTACACCAATGCTACACCACAATGCAGGCCCCTGGGTGTTGAATCGTTTAGTCAGTACTAACAAAAACCAGAAAAACTCATAATAAGTAGAGGAATTTATCCTATTTATGAAATAGAAGACTCCATATTAGAAAGGTGTTAAGGTTCTCAAATGTATGACTAGACTTAATCAAATTCATGCATACAATATCTAAAGAAATAATCATTACTGTAAGGTATCAATAAAGTCCTAATAGAGCTGTTTCACTGTCTATTTTCATCTCTTAAGGTTTATAGAAGACATCAGCTTGGTGTGACATTGGAGTAGAGACAAAATATTGATTTGTAAAACTTACAATATTGGATACTAGAAACTCAAGTTCAATATTATAATATGTCATTTTTATTCTCTATATCTCTTTCTCCTTGAATCTGTCTCCATTCAGCATCCATTTATAGGATCAATAAATGCTTCTTTTCTAGATTCTAGCTTGTGTCAAATGTCTAGCTTGGGGGCTAGTGCTGTGACGTAGTGGGTAAAGCTGCCACCTGCAGTGCCAGCATCCCATATGGGTGCTGGTTCGAGTCCTGGCTGCTCCACTTCTGATCCAGCTCTCTGCTGTGGCCTAGGAAAGCAGTGGAAGATGGTCCAAATCCTTGGGC